CAGCTCCCTAACCACTCCCCTGCAATATTCCCCCAATGCCATCTGTAATACACTGCTCCACCCCTTTGAAGACGCTACCCCCCTCCCCCTTTTCCCTGTGCAAACCCTGGCAAGCCCCCACGTTATTCCAAGTGGTTTGGAAAATGATCTGTGCCCCATCAGTGATGTTCCTCATCTTGACCAACAAGAACCAACATGAATGATCAGACACATACAGAGCAACACTTCAGTTCCTCAAACCGAAGGAGCTCAGTAAAGGCATTCAGAAAGAATCCTTTCAGATTAATTAATCTTACCGTATCACCTTGATTTCCTTTATACCCCTTTGGACCCTAAAAAGCAAAGAAAGAATCATCAAATTTGAGCTGTAATTGTCTTGGTACAAAATTGCAAATATTAGCAATTACTTTTGATATTTGATCTTCTCAACTTTGTGGAAACAGAATAAAAATTACTCACTGGATGCCCAATGGGGCCCGTCATGCCAAAAGGACCCATGATGCCTTCTTTGCCCTGGATATAGAGGAGACAGTGTTCATTTGCAGCTTCTAAATTGCACGTTGCCAAGTTGTGTTCACAGATAAAACTCCCCCTCTACAATTCTATTTTATCTCCATGGCGAAAGCTGTTTCCACATCGGGTTTAGTGAGGCATAGCGCTTGACAGTGAAAGACCGGTCCCAACAGTTGTAACTAACATCTTTAGGAGTGATTAGATCGTGTTCGTGCTTTTAGATTCAATTTTCAAATGTACACAGATTCTGCAATCATTTCATTCTTTCAATCTGTCAGAACAGAAAACAGAATCCCCGATAGCAGTACGTTCTTACCTTCCTGAGGCACATGGCTTTACGCTGACTTTGTTTGGAGCCAGTACAGGATTCTGAAGAAGGTTGACAGGGTGAGTGCTGAGAGGATGTTTCCCCCTCACGGGAGAGTCTAGGACCAGAGGGCACAGTCTCGGAATAAAGGGGCGCCAATTTAAGACTGAGATGAGGAGGAATTTCTTCTCTCAGGGGGTTGTGGGACTTTGGAACTCCTTGTCACAGAGAGCTGCGGGGGCAGAGTCCTTGTGGATATTGAAGGCTGAGGTGGTGAGAATCTCGGGGAATCAAGGGTTAGGGGAAGAGGCAGGGAAGTTGACATGGAGAATGTCAGATCAGCCATGATCGTGGGAGCAGACTCAAGAGGCCAAATGACCTGCTCCTATTTCTTACTGTCTTATGTTTTAACAAAGTAACACTTGTTGGAAATTGGATTTGTTTTAGAATTTTAAATTGCTTACAAATTCATCTAAATACAGCAATGCATTGTTTACAGGACATTGAATTGTTCATTAAACAACCCAGCATTGCTCAACTGCAGGCCTAGATACTGCCCTTTCGATATTTCATTGCTCCTCGAACTAACTGCACAGAGGCCGGTATCCCATCACCAAGTCACCCTTTATTTACTTGTGCACAATACACTGGCTGTGACCAGCCAGCTCATAGTCAGTCCCCTGAACTGGGGAGATGCTAAATTTCCTGTTTATGTCTGTCAGCCAGGGCTCCCGATTGGCTCCAGTTAACAGCCCCAATCACAGATCTCATAGTCAGGGGGACCAACTGGTTCCAATCACTACACTCCTTAAGAACCAATGCTTTGGTTTTGAGGGCTCATTGCGGTTAGAATCACATAGCACAGAAGAGGCCCTTGGACCCATCAAGTCTGTACTGTCAAACCTACACTAGCCCCACTTTCCAGGAGTAGGCCCAAAGCCTTGACTGTTCACAATATTCCCATAGCTGTGTGGGGGTCATTACTGAGGTAACATGGTGCACAGTGAATCAGACATTTAAATAACCACTGACTCGAACAGATCACTCCTCACACCCATGTCCCTGCAGTAAATAAGTGCTTACCATTAATCCTGGAGGTCCTTTTGGGCCCTGGATCCCAGTAAAACCAACGTCACCTGGATGACCCTAAGCAAAAAAGAAGATTTCAGCTGGTGGATCGTTCTGTTCTGGATTCTAATTGGATCCACCTCAATAGAAAACATGATCATGTGACCAGAAATGGCAAGATACACAGAGGTGTACTCTGGTAAATCATTCATGGGCCTCAGATCAAAAAGATGTCTCCGATCGCCAGAGCAGGAATTCTGAGCAATGACGTGGTGGAAGATTGTGAGTTGACAACCACAAAATCTTCAATTACTGTTTGCTCAGAGAGAGACCACACGGCACATTAGAGGAGCTACCACAATGAATCTGGAACATTCCTGTCCACAGGAGGGGATTCTGGAATCGCTGCCTGTTTGAATGTGGGCATTAGGTTATTGAATCACCTCAATAACCTGCGATGTAGCATCTTTACCAAAGTCATAGTACCATCCGGCATTAGCTAACAGAATTTCAGAACAAGACCACCTTTGGGAGACATAGGGACAGGCAATAGAGAAAGACAGGATGGAAACAGACCTTTCAGCCCAGCTGACCATGTTTCCCAAACTAAACTAGTTCCATTTTGCTGCTTTCGGCCCATATTCTTCGAAACCTCCCCTATTCAGGTCCCTGTCCAAATGACTTTTAAAGGTTGTAACTGTACCTATATCCACCACATCCTCTAGCAGTTCACTCGATAAAAGGACCACCATTTGTGTGAAAACGATACCCCCCTCCCCAGCAGGTTCCTTTTAAATCTTTCTCCTCTCACCTTAAAACTATGGCCTCTAGGTTTGAACTCCCCTAACCTGGGGAAAAGACCTTTGCTACTCACCTTATCTCTGCCCCTCATGATTTTATAAATCTCCGTAAAGTTTATAAACCCTAAACCTCCTTTGTTCCAAGGAAGAAAGTCCCAGCCTATGCAAACTCACCTTCTAATTCAAACCCTTCATTCCTAGCAACATCCTGGTTAATCTTTTCTGCGCTCTTTCCAATTAAAAGTTCTTCCAACAGCAGTGCGACCAGAACTGTCTAAAATCATGATGGAATTCTCTGCTATGGTTGAAGCCAAAACACAGACTATTTTCAAGAAGGAGTTAGATACAGTTCTTCGGGGTAAAGGAATCAAAGGGTGTGAGGGGAAAGCAGGAACAGGAGACTGAGTTGGATGATCAACTGTGATCCTAAGGAATGGGGAAAGCAGGCTCAAAGGGCCGAATGGCCTACTCCTAGCTCCTATTTTCTATAAATGTGGAAGTTTTTTTTTACCAATGTTTTGAAGGAGGTGAGAGAGACAGTGAGCAGGAGATGTTGAACTTTCCACGTTACAGCTAAGTGCACAGTCAAACCCACAAGCTTCAATCTGACTGGCTTGGGAAGAATACTACCACCCTGCTGCTTTCTGATTCCCATAGCCCTATCCCACGGGAATGCCAGGAAACAGAGGCAAGGCCCTCTGATGGTGCCGGAGTGGAAACGGGAGCTGCAGTTCACCCTGGAGGTTTGTCTGAGGTCAATACTCAGGCTGGAAGGGGGTGGGGGAGCGTGGTAGGTCATTGGAAAGGTGGCCTGCACTGCGCCTAGAAACCTGTTGGTATGTTGCAGGAAGGCAAGGGATGTGCAAGTTGGATGTGGAATTGAGCTGGTCGCTCTGGAAGCCAGGATAAAGGCGTAATCATAGAATCCCTACAGTGTGGACAAAGGCCCTTCGGCCCAACAAGTCCACACTGACCCTCACAGCACCCACTCAAACCCAGCCCCCTTAACCCACCTAATCTACACATCCCTGAGCACTACGGGTAATTTAACATGGCCAATCCACCCTAACCTGCACATCTTTGGACTGTGGGAGGAAACCGGAGCACCCGGAGGAAACCCACGCAGACACAGGGAGAATGTGCAAACTCCACACAGACAGTTTCCCAAAGGTGGAATCGAACCCGGGTTCTTGGCACTGTGAGGCAGCAGCGCTATCCACTAATACTGTGGATGCTGGAAATCTAAAGCAAACACAGGAAGTTCTGGAGAAATCCAACAGGTCTAGCAACCTCTGTGGAGAGAGAAAGAGAGTAAACATTTCATCTCGTATGACTTCTTCAAGGGACTCTAAGCATTAACTCTTTCTTTCCACAGATGCTGCCAGACCTGTTGACCTTCTCCACCATCCTCTGTCTGTTTAACTTGTAACATCCAATAAGACTCCTCAACATCTGCAGTATCTTGCTTTCACTTTGGCTTAAGGGGGATTGGCAGAAGAACTTGAGATGATAGGAGGACAGACTTTTTTTTATCCAACAAGTGATGATGGTTTGCAGCACAGGGTCAGACAGTCTGGAGGAAGCAGACTCCAATGGGGAAATGGTTAAGTATCTGAGAGAGACACAGACATTGCAGGAATATAATAGAGGGGAAGAGAGGGGCAAGGTGATTGGGCTTTGAAAAAAGCTAGCGCAGATTTGATGGATCAAATGGTCTCCTTTCACCTTGATACTACCCCATAGGCCTGTCTTTGCTCCTTACAGTGCATCCTGAACATTTTCTGCTCGTCTCCTCTTTCCAGCTCCCATGTGCGACGCCTCTTCCTGTCTGTGATGAGATGTCAACAGCACCACGACGAAGACTGCTAATGGAAAAGTCCTCTATGTTATGATCTCCCCTCCTCTCTCCTTTTTCACACAGAGCGTGGTGCATGTGTGGAACAAGCTTGCCAGAGGAAGTGCTACAGGCGGGTACAATTACAACTTTAAAGGACATTTGGACAGGTACAAGGACAGGAAAGGTTTAGAAGGAATATGGGCCAAACACAGGCAAGTGGGATTAGTTCAGTTTAGGAAAATGTGTTGGCATGGACGGGTTGGGCCGAAGGGCCTGTTTGTGTTGCATGACCCTATGAAATCCCAGACATCGCAAGAAAGGTTAAGTAAATGCTAAAGGGATTTATTCTTTTGAAACGCAAGGTATTGTAAGAATTAGCTTTCTGGAACACAACCCACATTAATTACCTCCTGCAAAGAAAAGGGATTATTTCAGTAAACTGCGAGTTCAAATCTATTTTTATGCAGTGTCAATGCAGTCATCTGTATATATGTAGTCGTCTCTTAGCACTGGGACAAAGGGAATTGTTGTCATTGGATACAGCCTGATGGCTGCAATAGAGGAAAAATCACTCTAAGTTGACCAAGATGGACACACATATTATTCAAATAATTGCTTGTGATTGAATAAACAAATAACAAACATTTCAAAACTGTTCCACATGTACATAATGAAGCTGCTTACTGAAAAAGAGACGATACTGAACTAGTGTAAAACAGATTTAATCTGCTAACACAGGTCTCAGCAAAGGTTCGTGGCCATTTCAAGAAACACACCAGAATGTTTATAAACAATTATTTGGAATTACTGGACATTTCCTGCACACATAACATTCGCACGGGCAGGAGTGAGTGTCCAGTCTGTCGTGGTACCAGTACGAAAAGAACCTTGTCGTCAACAAGTTGATGGTGAAATGTCAAATTGAATCTGCGCTGTCGTACTTAACATTTCAGAAAAAAAATAAATGTTCAAATCAAAAACACTAGTCAACAAGCTTGTCAACAATTAGTTGCAAATGACTTCAAGTAAACATGTTTGAGTTCAGTGAACCCTGCGAGGTTCCAATCAGGTCATGGTACTACCATGGGAGCGATCATTCAGATGGTGGATAAATGTGGTGTGCTGGATTCTGAGGATATCTGTCACATGATAACCTTAAATAACATTGTTATAAGCTTCAGGTTTGCCTTGTGTATCCTCAGTGACGTCTCTGCCTTCGGGGTGAGGTGAGAGAGTGTTGTGATTGTAGTTCGGTTACTGACCTGGCTCCTTCCGTGGCCAACCAGTCCTGGAATGGGACTTGGAGCCTGGATTGTTCCGGGGTCACAGGGAGAGATACTGCCTAGCTGAACGGTCATTCCTCCATTGGAGGTTAAAACTCTGAAGTGCACAAGTGCCTTTGATTTTCTGCTGAGTTCAATTCCACTTCACTCTAATCCTTCATTGTCTGTGCAATGTTTCCAGTGTGAAGCCCAAACCATTGTGTGTGAGGATTGTGTGCGCATTGGACAGGGTTCACTGACTTCAAACATGTTTCCTTGAAGTCATTCACAACTAATTGTTGACAAGCATGTTGACCAGTGTTTTTGATCTGAACATTTTTCTGAAATGTTAAGTACGACAGCGCAGATTCAATTCGACATTTCACCATCAACTTGTTGACGACAAGGTTCCTTTTGCAGTGGTACCACGACAGACTGGACACTCACTCCCACGTGTGTCTGCATGTGTAATGTGTTGTATGTGTATGTATGTGTGTTGCATTGTATGTGCATGTATGTGTGTGTGTCTGTGTTGTACGTGTGTGTGTTGAATTGTATGTTCATGTGTGTGTGTGTGTCTGTGTTGTACGTGTGTGTTGTATTGTATGTGCATGTATGTGTGTCTGTAGTACACATGTGTGTTGTATTGTTTGTGTATGTATGTGTGAATCTGCGTTGTACATGTGTGTTGTGTTGTATGTGCATGTATATGTGTGTCTGTGTTGTACATGTGTGTCTTGTGTTGTATGTGTACGCACACTGTGCACATATGCATGTGTTGTATTAGATGTGTGTGCACATTTGCTTGTGCTTGTATACATGTTGTGTTGCATGTGTGTGTGTGTGCATGTGTTTGTTGCATGCATGTGTCTGTGTTGTAACATAATCCTCTTTCTCTCTCCACAGAGGCTGCCAGACCAGCTGAGTTTCTCCAGCATTCTCTGTGTTTGTTTCAGATTTCCAGTATTGACCATACTTTGCCTTGATTCGAATCCTGGAGAGTGGTGTTTTTTGGAACCAATCACATTTTGAACTGATTACAATCCCATGTGGTTAAAATGGAAGGCATGGCTTACAGTCCCGTCAACTCTTCAGTAACCTTTGTTCAGGGTAATGATGTCATTCTGACTTCCACTCCTTTCAACAAACCATTCAAGCTTCAATGTTAAGGAAACTTAA